AATTTTATTTTCCCCACAGAGCCTTAGGATTTCCCTAGTGGTACACCAAAAATACCCAGAAGCAACCCTTGCAGATTGCAGGAGCAGAGTAACATTCTAAAGCAAGCAGCACAGGGCAGGGCCTGGATTCCCACAACACGGGTGGTGCCCAGGTTCCTTGGCCACAGAATGTTACCTTGAGCCCCCCAGCTAGTCTGACAGATCAGTGGCAGCGTTAGGCACCTGCAACTCATGCAATTACCGGGAGCCCCCAGGTAGTGAGCAGTCCCCTGAAAGCGGATCCAGCCTCCTCCCATCAGCTGTTCCACCCGGCCTGGGGCTCCAAAGGGAGTCCCCCACAGTGTGACCTCTCATGCACGGTATGTGCGAGGTCACTGGTAGGGGCTATGGAACTGAGCCCTGCAGGGGCCCCACGGACAAACACCACCATGACTGCCTGCATACACTCGGGCTTGCAGCAATCCCCAGTCGTGCTGCACAGGTTCAGGTGACGTGCTCGGGCTCTTCACTTTGGACCAGGAATAAATTTTAAAAATATTGGTTCCCCAAAGGGGCAGTGGGTACTGGAGAGTCCTGAGGGGGTCAGATCAGAGCCATACTCTGAGCCTCAGGTGCGTGTGTGCACACACACACACACACATATACACATACACACACACATAAAAAATTAAGAGCCCTAAGATTGTCACGGCATATGCAGGTGTTTTAGGTGGGGAGGTTACGTTATGTGCTGCTCATATTACTCCCCTTTCCCATAACCTCTGTAACAAGCTTCACAGAGGGCTCCCTTATAAGCAGATTCTACTTAATTCACCCATTGCCAGGCTCCCAGAAGCTGGCACTGCGTTTATAGCAATCCCACACTAACTGGCTTCATCACAGGCTCTACAGCCTCATCTCAGTTGCGCTAAGGCCCCTTTACCCTGCTCTGGCACAAGTAAATCCCAGGACGTCTGTGCTTCCAGAGCAAGGTGAAGGGATCTGAGTGTAACAGAATGGTAGGAACCATAAAGAAAGGGAGGGACAATATGACAGAAAATATTATAATGTCTCTGTATAAATCCATGGTATGCCCGCACCTTGAATGCTGCCAGCCCCCAGCTTAGAAAGATCTATTAGAATTGGAAAAGGTACAAAGAAGGGCAACCAAAATGATTAGAAGAATGGTCCAGCTCCCATATGAGGAGATATTTAAGACTGGGACTGTTCAGTGTAGAAAAGAGACGACCAAGGGCATGGGGGGATATGATAGATTCTATATCATCATGACTGGTGTGACACAGGGCCATAAAGGGTTACACAGCAAGCAGTGTAATTGACCCTGATTCAACCTTAAGGGCACGTCTTCACTACCAGCCCGGATCAGCGGGTAGAAATCGATCTCTCGGGGATCGATTTATCACATCTCATCTAGACGCGATAAATCGATCCCCGAATCGATGCGCGTACTCCACCTCATCAGGAGGAGTAAGCGGCGTCGATGGGGGAGCCGCAGCAGTCGATTTGCTGCCGTCCTCACAGCGGGGTATGTCTAATAGTATACTTCGACTTCAGCTATGCTATTCGTGTAACTAAATTTGCGTATCTTACATCGACCCCCCCCAGTGTAGACCAGCCCTTAGAGACATATTAGTAGAGAATGGTTGTGTGTTTGTGTAGAGCTATCAACATTCAAATGAACTGTGACAGCTGTGATATTGCTGTCTTGATTTCCTCTTTGAAGTATATAGCAAATCACCCGCAAATTCATAGAATACCAGGGTTGGAAGGGACCTCAGTAGTTCATCTACTCCAACCCCCTGCTCAAAGCAAGACCAATCCCCTAACTTTTTTTTTTTTTTTTTTTTGCCCCCAGATCCCTAAATGGCCCCCCTCAAGGATTGAACTCACAACCCTGGGTTTAGCAGACCAATGCTCAAACCACTGAGCTATCCCTCCCCCCGACTGAACAATCCTGCCCCTTATGCCTTCTGTTAATCCATGCAGCTAATTACCAGGGGATGTTTAGGAAATAGGAGGTTACTTCAAAGACACTATTGTTCACCCAAGGTCTGCATGCTGTCAAGAGGCTGCACGGAAACTGTATAAAGGGCTCTTGGGACCTGATCCTTTTATCTCAGATCTGCTTAAGCTTCACCAGGGGAAAGTTTGAGTCACAAGTCTGACATCTCCAGTCTCATCTGGATCTCCCTGATACTGGACATTGGACTGAACCTATGGGTTAATTCTGAAATAACTCTGTGCAACTCTAACACCCACCATCTCTACTATGAAACTGACCTAAGAATTTTATTCAAGTCTGTATGTAGAATGATCTTTTAACCAACACACACTCTCTCTCTCTCTTTTTTTCATAAATCTTAATTCGGTTAATAAGAATTGGCTGTCAGCGTGCATTTGGGTAAGTGTATTTGGGTAAATGGTCAAATATTCTTTGACCTGGGGAGCAATGTTTTTGATCCTTTGGAATTGGTAGAACTTTTTATATGATGAATAAGATTTTCAATAATCTTCATCATATTTGACTTGGCTGTCTGAGTGGGAGCCCAAAGGCTGTGTTGCTTTAAGGGAACTGGGGTTTTGGCATCTGAGTAACCAATGAGGTATTGTAGAAGCTGATTTGTGGCTAGCTTGGTGAATCTAAGTATGAGACTAACCACCAGCTTTGGGGATTGTCGGCCCCATTCTTGACACTTTGCCCTAATTGAGAAATCTCAGCGTGACCCCCTGGAGCCTCAGTCACACCCGGTGTGGAGAAAGTGCATAAGGAAGTGTTATTTACCCCTTCACATAACACAAGAAGCAGGGATCACCCAATGAAATGAATAGGCAGCAGGTTTAAAACCAACAAAAGGAAGTACCTTGTCACTCACTGCACAGTTAACCTCTGGAACTGGTTGCCAGGGGATGTTGTGCAGGGCAAAACTAAAACTGGAATCAAAAAAGAATTTGGTAAGTTCCTGGAGGATAGATCTATCAAGGGCTATTAGCAAGATGGTCAGGGATGCAACCCCATGGTCTGGGTGTCCCTAAACCTCTGATTGCCTGAAGCTGGGACAGCTCGACAGGGCACTTGATGATTCCGCTCATCTGTTCCTTCACTTTGACATACCTGGGATTGGCCATTGTCAGTAGACTGGACACTGGGCTTGATGGAACATTGGTCTGACCCGGTATGGCCGATCTTATGTTCCAATCTGTAACCTATTAACCACTGGTGTTTGTCTGTTCCCTGAAGAGGTGTTCAATGGCAACTTCACCTCATAGAACATATGTTACCTACTTATGCTAAAAAATCTTTTCCACCTTGTATTTAGCTATGAAATGGAGCCCCTTTCCCAGACCTGAAGAAGAGCTCTGAGGAGCTTGAAAGTCTGTCTCTTTCACCAGCAGAAGTTGGTCCAATGAAAGATCTCACCTCCTCCTCCTTGTCTCCCTCATAAATTTTAACATCATTTTCTTTTGTCACATTTTCCCAGGTGAAAAATATTGTAAGGAAAAAAACAACTCAGACAGTAGGGAAAAAAAACCCTTTCCCTCAATTTTATCCCTCTGCCTGCCACGCCCATGTGTAGGGTCTCACAAACAATTCAACCAAAGAGGTTCCCCAGAAAAGCCTATTCATAAAAAAAATAGACAATCAGACAATTGGCTGGTCCCCTTACCCACTGCCTCCATGATTCCTAGGCAGGGATAGCACAAAGAGAAACACCCATGCATGGGGGTAGCTGGTCCCCAAGGGAATGCAGGGAGCCCCTAAGCTAAAGGAAACCATTAGTAGTTCAAGTGCATCCAACCCCAAACAGCAAGCACCCCTGTCCTCCTGCAGCATTGTGGGGAAGCTGATCTGGGGACGTACCTTATGCAGGCTGTGCTGATGCACCGTCCTTCCTGGTCCTGGAGTGACTGGTGGGTCGGGGGAACCAATCTTTGCTGCTGTAACAAACACAGCTCTTAGGGGGAAACTCCCCAGGACGTTGCTTCAGGGGCTGAAACGAAGAGAAGCGACTGACTTTCTCTAATGATTAAAGAGGTCCTGGTTTTAGTGAGGCGCAGGGTCAGGGCTGAGCAGGGAGAGGTTTTTTGTAGCCTGTGGTGGTACAGGATTTGCTCCTTCCCCTACTGGGAACAGATCCTAGATTAATCCTGTTCAGTTCTGTTATTTCTGCTGTTCCCTAGTCACAGTTGCAGTGTGAATCAGTCCATCCTCAACCATTGCACGTCCTGTTCTCTTCTCCCCAGGGAAGCCCAGTATCCCCTTCCTCAGCCCTCTGCCAAGTAGAGCCTATACCTGAAATCCCAACCCCTGCCCCCAACCCCTGCCTGGTGCACAAAGAGACACATGGGAAATTGTTCCCCTTCCAAGCTGTCTCCCCCTTTTGGAGATATGCTGAGATCAGGCATTGGGCTGATTCTCCACCATGCCCTGTCATCATTTACACCAGTGCAAAATGGGTCCTGAATGCTGCTATCCAGGATCATAGCGTTCTACACCTGCTTTGCACTGGTGTGAATGAGTTTGCAAGGAGCAGGCAACGGAGAATCTTTTGTCACTCAAACAGCCCCGCCTGATTCCCAGGGAGCTTTGTGACAGTCTCAGGAAACGATCTGCATCCTGTGCCCCTGGAAACCAAAACCAAAAGTCTGAGCTGCCCCTTTCCCAGAAATGGGAGGAAGCCGGGAAGCGGGGCTGGCTCTGAGCCACCAAACTGCAAACAAAATTACTACAGCCCTTAACTCTTGCAAGGAAACACAGGCGAGGGCCTGGCACGTGGAGCTCTTTAGCGGCACCCATCCGACAGCAGCTCGGAAGCTTGTCTCTTTCCCCAGTAGAAATTTGTCCAGTAAGAGATATTAGCTCACCCACCTTGTCTCTCTCAAACTTTATGTAAGTGGGGGATGGGAGGAGCGAGAAGGGATGATCCCACTGTTGTGGGGAACTTTCCTGGCTTCTGCATTGTCCTGGTGATATCAGATAGTGACAGGATCTGAGTCATCGCTCCAGCTCCCTGTACCCTGAGGCCGGCCGCCCTCGGCTCCCCTTCCTCCCTCCCACGCGACAGAGTTCTCAAAACCCTGACAAGGCTGGGCCCAGGATCCCTGTGGGCCGGAAACCCCACTCTCGTCATGGCCAATCAGGACAGGGGTTGGGGTGTCCCCACTCCAGGGTGCTCTCTCCACATCGGCCACTTTCCTGACCCCCTGATCAGTGCATTAAATTCAGCCCAAATACAATTTATTAAACAGCAGCTGTAAGAAATATAAGGAAAAAAGTTATAAGGTTAAAGGGACAGGGACCCCGCCCTATGGGCATGGGGACACCACAACCAGCCATCTCTGTGATGTAAGGAAAGTTCACCACCTGCTCCTCCCACATCCCAGGCCTCCTTCCCAGCCCCTAGCTCCACTGTGGTGACACTACAGTCAGACTCTGCTCTGGCAGTGCCTACCCGCCCTCAGTTTCCAGAGGGTAGGATCCTTCTCCTCAGCATCAGCACCCCATTGGGCTCATGTCCCCCCTCTGAGCCCAGTCTGCAAGGTCTCATGTCTGGCGACATCTCCCAGCACTGGACCCCTGCCCAAGGCCCCCTGGCTCTCCCCAGCCATTCATGGCACTTGGCTGCAGGGTTACAGGTGACAGGGCTGGTACCCGCTGTCCCAGCTCTGGCTCCGCAAATCCCCCTGCAGCTTGGCCCTGGCTTCCTGTCTGCGTGGCTGGTCTGTGCCTCGCCTGCCCAGCCCCCAACTCCTCCTCTTCTGGTTCTGGCTGCTGCTCTCCCCTTAGCTCTGCCCTGCCCTGGCTCAGGCAGCCCCAGCTCACACGGAGGATGGGAGCTTGCACTCCTAATTCCCTCATTGGCCTGCAGCCCTGTCAATTGGGCTGACCTGGAGCACTGCTCTCTCCCCCTTGGCCCCGGGGACTGTCAGTAGCAGGATCTTGACTCCTCTTCTGCCCTTCCCCTCCATTTGGTATCGGGCAAAGGTCAACAAAAAAAAAAAAACCACCCTACTAAGTTTCAGTGAGTGGCCAACAGCCCCCTGCTTGTGCCGGCCACGCCCATGTGTTGTCTCGCTCAGACAATTCAACAAAAGGGTTCCTCAGAAAACCCTCCCCATAAAAATCAGACAATGGGCCACAACCCTGCCCCCACCGCCCCTTGGTCCCCCAGGCAGGGGAAGCACAAACAAAACCCCCATGTGTAGGGGTGGCTGGTCCCCAAGGGAATGCAGGAACCCCATAAGCTACCTGTGCCTAAAGCTAAAGGGAACCGTTAGTGGTTGAAGCACACCCAAAACCCAACTGCAATCACCCCTGTCCTCTGGTGCAGCCGATCTGGGGACGTACCTTACACAGCCTGTGCTGATGCACCGTCCTTCCTGGTCCTGGAGCCCCTGGTGGGTCGGGGGAACCACCCTTTGCTGCTGGAACAAAATCAGCCGTTAGGAGGTAAACTCTTCTGGACTTTGCTTCAGGGGCTGAAATGAAGAGAAGGGACTGACTTTTCTCTAATGATTAAAGAGGTCCCAGTTTTAGTGTGGTGCAGGTCAGGGCTGAGCAGGGAGAGGTTTCTTGTAGCCTGGGGTGGAACAGGATTCAGTCCATCCCCTACTGAGAACAGATTGTAGATTAACCATGTTCAGTTTTTCTGTTATTTTCCCTGTTCCCTAGTCACAGAGCAGATACATGAAACCCCAAACTCTCTGCCACCACCCCGCACCTGGTGCACAAACAGAAACATGGGAAATTGTTCCACTTCGAAGCTGTGTCCCCCTTTTGGAGATACGCTGAGATCAGGCACTGGGCTGATTCTCCACCATGCTGTGTTGTCATTTACACCAGTGCAGAATTGGTCGAGAATGCTGCTATCCTGGATCATAGTGTTGTACAGCTGAGAAGTATATACCTCGATAGTATTCATCACCATGTATTTTTTTTTACAGGTTTCCACACCCCATTTAGGGCTTATGTCCTGCCCTCTGTTCCTGTTTTCGTTGGTGTTAAGAATTGGCGCTGTCAGTCATTTTGAAAAAAAATTGTGCATTATTTCTTATGTTTGAATAGGGTGAATGTTGCATGCTTGTGCTTTAATACATTTAGTTGATTATTTAGAGGAAAAGGTTAAAGGAATAAAGTGGGAGAGCTTAAAGATTTAAAAAAGAAAGCTTTGGTAACGTATAGATGAAAAAGGAAAGAAAGGTTATTAAAGAGAAGAAAGATTGGTTGGTTCGGTTTAGTAACGAGACATAATTTTAAAGAATAGAAAGAGAACTGAAAGAAAAATAAAGATTTTTGTTTGAAAAGGTTAGTTTGAAAGAATAGAGGCAAGTTATTAAAGAAAAGAGGGATTTTTGGTTAGGTTGAGTAAGGAGAGATGATTTTAAAGGCGTAGTTTTGCATGTTATTAAAGAATAGAAAGAGAACTTTAAAAAATGGAGATTTTTGTTTTTAAAGGGTTAGTTTGAAATAATAGAGGCAAGTTACTAAAGAGAAGAAAGATTGATTAATTTTAGTAAGGAGAGGTGTTTTTAAAGGACTAGTTTGGTATGTTATTAAAGAATAAAATTATTTAGAGAAATGTGAAAGGTGTATTAAATATGAGGGTAGGTTAAGAAAAAGAGCATTTCAGAATATTAAATAATTTTGAAAAATAGGTTAAAAAGAACACACAGCAAAAAAAATAATTTTATAAAGCAGAGACTGTTTAGTAAGCACATGGTAAAAATATAAAGGGAGGTTCGTAGAAAAGCATTTAAAAATGAAATATAAGGGTAGATTAAGAAAAGAGCATTTAAAAAGAGTGAAATAAAAGAGAAACATATAAAGAGAGGTTAAAAGAGAGAACAGGTTAAGAAAAGGGAAACGAAACCCCTTTGCAAAGGGCAAAAATAGACAGCCCATGGCTGAGCCAGAGAGAGAGAGATCTTACCCTTGTGACGGGTCCTGGGGATTGAGGAAGTTACCAACACTCACAACCCCTCTGGCTAGTTATCTGCCTTTGGGTCGGACCAATCAGATACTGTTCTACAGCTGCATCATAGAATACATTTTCTTGAACCAATCCTATAGTCCCAAGATTTTAAAGAAGAGCCATCTCCATCTCCTCCCCTGCCCTCACTACCCCCCTTTAATTGCCATATTCTTATCTAAAAAACAGACACCAAGCATTTTTCCTGCCATGTAGCATAGGGTTACCATATCTCGTAAATAAAAAAAGAGGACCCTCCACGGGCCCTGGCCCCACCCATTTCCCCACCCCTAGCCCCGCCCCAACCCCGCCCCTTCTCCACCCTAACTCCGCCCCCTCCTCCCTCCCACTCCCAGCCAGGGGGAAAGGGCTGCCCCAGTGCTACCGCCTTCAGGGTTTGCCAGGCAGCCCCCAGACCCTGCGCCCCCAGCCGGCGCTTCCCCAGTGCAGCTGGAGCCCGGGAGGGGAAGTGCCCAGCCGGGGCCGCAGGGTCTGGAGGCATAGGGGCTGCCCAAAGCCCGAGCGCTACCGGCTTTG